GAGAGAGAGAGAGAGAGAGAGAGAGAGAGAGAGAGAGAGAGAGAGAGAGAGAGAGAGAGATGGGCGACATTGGATTTGACGACATTGGGGTTCAGAGTCCTTCAGACTCAACATCGGGATTCAGACCTTTGGCGAGGGATTATTTGGGACTGTATCGAAGACTTGGTGTTGACGACATTTCCATCTTCCCCCTCCCCTTCGTCTCATCCCCCCTCTTCTTCGTCTGTGCATGATTGGGGACTGACACATTCTTCCTGTGTGAGCGTCAGCCCCCTTCACAACATGGAATGATGATGATGCATTTTTGGTCTGCATGGCAGTTTGATCGATCGGATCATTGGTATTTAAGCCTTCCGTTGTGCTATCTTGTATCTGGCGAGAAAGGTCGGTTCTTGGTCTGGTCTGTACCTTTACGGTATGCAACAGTTTGGTATCGGTGCGGACCTTTTTCATCAAGATCTGCCCAATCAAGTAGTCAGCTTGCTTGATCTACTGATTGATTGATTGATTGATTGATTGATTGCTTGATTGCTTGATTGATTGATTAGTAAATCAAGTAGGGTTTCGTCAAAATCTCTGCAGATCTCTTTTTCTTTTTTCTCTTTTTTTTCGCAACTTCAGCATTAGCATTTCGTTTTATCTGAAAATTTCTGATATATGTATTTCGTTTTCACGCAACAAATATCCGAAAATTTCTGATAATAACATTTCGTTTTATCTGAAAAGGGCCGATATTTGCACTTCGTTTTTTTTTTACGTAACAAATATCCGAAAATTTCTGATAGTAGCATGTCGTTTTTCTGACGTCAGCATCTCGTTTTCTAGGGTTACGACGAAGGTTGTCATATTCGGGGAAACAAAATTACCCCTTTCTGAAAATCGAATCTCCATCCTACTTCGCGAAGCCTATTAGCATTTCGTCGTCTGAAACAAAATTCGTTGCTAGACACAATAGGAGGTGGTCATATTCTCGGAAATGGAATTTATTCTTTTGCTGAAAATCGAACCTTTATCCTACCTTGCCTAGATCTCACTCATAGCGTTGTCCGTGAAATGACTCACTGATAACAGATCGACAGATATACAAAAAAAAAAAAAAAAAAAAAAAAAAGGGGTGATCCGCTTCTTTTTTTATATTTTTTATTGTTACTTTTTTTTATTCTGTTGATTAGGACTGGCATGGAAATTGCAGTTTGGGTGTTTGCCTGCGTTTCCCTCCCACCCAGCCCCCAGTCTGTTTTCTAGGCTTGGTAAGTGCCACGTCAGCAGGCCACGACAGTTGCAGTGCCACTTCAACAGGTCACGACAGTGCAGTATCACGTCAGCAGTGCCACGTCAGCAGCAGTGCCACGTCAGCAGTACCGCGTCATTGACACCGTACAGCTAACTGCAGCTTATGCTCCGACGCAGCAACCGCATTGCAGCACGGGAAGGGCGGGCAGCCGCAGCAGAACAGCAGCTACCTCCGCCCCACCCCTCTGAAATGGACACTCAGGGCAACCCCAAGGTGGACAATGCCGCATCCGGCAGTCCACACGAGGCATGCAGCTCGAACCCCGTGGCCCCACAGGCCCAACAGGAGGGTTCCACTGCGACTTCTGCGGGAACCCTCGACGCTGCACCAGTCCGGCGGCAAGGAGAGACCATGACAGCCTTCCTGGCCCGCTTGGGCACCTATATGGAGCAAGTCCAAGAGGAGCAGCAACGCGAGGCGGCACCCGAAGCAGCACGCCTGAATGCCATTGCACGCGCAGAAGAGCAACGACGCCGGCAGCAAGCTGACGCAGCTGCCAACCACAACCAAGCTCGAAGAGATGCCGCGTCTGTCCTCATGCAGCAGGAAGCCGCTCATACCGCCGCACTCCAAGCATGGCATGTTGATCCGGCGGAAATGACGGAACCAACTACGGAGGACCAGACTAAGTCAGCTCTCGCCAGCATGATGCACCAAGTCATCCTCACTTGTAACTGGCAACAAGTGGAGCTGGCTCGGCAGGCACGTACCATCACTGCGTATGAGGAGACTCTCAAGAGCCTCCACGCCCGCCTTGACATGCTGGAGAAGGATGATGTGCCGCACACACACACGGCATCGTCAAGCATGGATCAATCGATCCGCGAGCTGGAAGGACGACTATTTCACCTAGTCGAGATGATCGGCAACTTGAACAGTTTCCGACACCCGACGACCATCAGCCAGCAAATAGCCGCTCTACAAGCGGATCTGCGTCAACTGCAACAGCAACCAACTGGGACCTGCAACAGCGTGACGCCTAAACAATTCAAGGTGCCGAAGTTCAGCATCGACAAATTTGATGACTACCACAAGGCGGACCCCATCAGTTGGTGGCAAGGGTTCACCAATGAGCTCTCCATCCACGTGTGGCTCAACCACCTGGCTCAAACCGAGGGCGTCAAAGTCTCTAAGCTTCACTCCAAGATCACTTGGGAGGCCATGACTGAGAAGTGGCGGAAACGCTTCATTGTCGACGACGCTCAGGGCAAAGGCGTGAACAGGATCTTCAGCATGCGTCAAGGCAGCCAGCCAACACGCGAATGGCTAACCGAGTGGCAGAAAATCGTGACGATTCCGAATTTGGACATCCCATTCGTACATCTTCGTCGCAAATTCTTCCAGCGGTCAGTGGACGCGTTGAGCACGGCCCTTGGGGAGCGCAGCCCGTACACGGACTTCGACCAAATCGTGGAGAAGGTGCTCGAAGTCATCCAAACCAATCGGTGGGCAGCCAACGAGCGGCGAAGCCAACCGACTTTTGTGGAAAAGTGCAAAGGCCCGCAGCCGCAGCAAGTCGCTGCTGTCCAAGGAAATGGACAAGAGAACGACCAGGCGATGACTCAAGAGTCTAGGGAAGGAGACGAAGTCAACGCCCTTCCGCCACGACGCAACAACAACAACAAGAAGAAAAAGGCGAAATCTGCGTCAACAACGGAAGCCGGACAACCGAATGAGCCATGGAAGAAGTTCAACCTCACAGAGGAGCAATACAAACTCCGCTAGAGGTGGAGCTGTTGCTACTGGTGCAACAGCACCAAGCATATGACGTCGCAATGCTCTGACAAAGGCAAAGAAGACGTCCGTCCATGGCAAAGCTCGGGAAACTGAGCTTCGCGGGAAGTGAGGCGACTCCACTTCCTACTCCGCCGGACACGGTTGCCTTGCTAACAACCTCCTCCACGTCTGGGGAACATGCGTATGTCGCCAGTCTTCGCGAAGATTATGAAGACTATGCTGTCTAGCTGGTCCCGCCGTTGGACCAACCTCTCCACGTGCAAGAGTCTTATGCGTGCGCGACTTCATCACCATCGCCAAGTGAACCAGCATCCTCGCCAACATCACTCGGGGACTCGTCGGTATGGTCTAGACTTGAGGAACTCGACCCATTTGACACCGGAGAACTTCCAATGGTTGCCTCTTCCCCCATCTGGTTCCTTGCCGAAGCCGCATTGCAACGCCCTAATGGCGGAGCTACGCAACTGCTTGCACGCTGTAGTACCAGCTCCGTTGATGGAAGACGGAGTAGCGGTTGTTGACCTTCGCGAGTATATTGCGAAGATTGACCGCGAGTACGCCACGCAACGGTACGATGACACCGACGCACCGTTACTCTACGTCCGCATTCAGATCGGGAAGGCGACCTGCAGCTCCTTGATTGATTGTGGAGCTACTCGCAACTACATCAGTCAGGATTTCATGACCCGCGCCGGCCTTGGGCCGCGCGTTCGAAGGAAATCGCAGCCCACGCAAGTCACGTTGGTTGACGGTCGTATGCACACAAGTCCCTTGATCGGTGCATTGACTCTGTCCCCGTGTACTTTGCCCCGCTTGCACGCGAGGCCGTGTCCTTTGACATATTGGACACAAAGTTCGACATGATCTTGGGCATGTCATGGCTGCGCAGCGAGGACCACCCGGTGAACTTCTACCGTCGCACCGTTCACGTTCATGACCACAACGGGGTACTTGTGCCATGTACGGTCCCCCCACCTCATCCTTCGATTGGTTGTCACGTGGTCTCCGCGGCAAGCATTTGCAACTCCATCGCACGGAACGACGTGGAGGAAATGGGCATTTGTTTCTTGCACGCCCTGCCTCCTCCCGACGAGCCAGCGGCGGAACAGCCACCGGATCCACACATTGTAGAACTTCTTGACTCCTATGGTGACGTCTTTGAAGCCCCGTCGGAATCGTACGGAATCGGCCAATTCGTCACGAGATCATCCTCGAAGACGGGGCTGTACCTCCGCGCGGATGTATTTACTGCATGAGCGAGGAGGAACTCGAAGTGCTTCGAACGCAACTCGATGACCTCATTGACAAGGGTTGGACTCGCCCTAGCTGCTCGCCCTACGGTGTACCTGTTTTCTTCGTTCGAAAGAAGAACAAGGAGCTGCGCTTATGCATTGACTATCGCAAGCTTAATGCTCAAACCATTAAGAATGTCGACCCGCTTCCACGCATCGACGATCTTCTCGAACGCTTGGGTGGCGCCAAGTATTTCTCCAAGTTGGACCTCGAGGTCGGTTACCACCAGCTCGAGATCCATCCAAGAGATATGTACAAAACCGCCTTCAAGACACGGTACGGGCACTTCGAGTGGGTTGTAATGCCATTCGGCCTCATGAATGCGTCGGCCACCTTCCAAGCGGCAATGACAACGGAGTTTCGCGATATGTTGAACCGGTTCGTGCTCATCTACCTCGATGACATCCTGATGTATAACCGAACTTTGGACGAGCACATCGTGCATCTACGTGCTGTTTTGGACAGGCTACGCACGGCCAAGTACAAGGCCAACCGAGCCAAGTGCGAATTCGCACAGCAAGAGCTCGAGTACTTGGGTCACTTTGTGACGCTGCAAGGCATACGTCCGCTTGCGGACATTGTCGATGAAGGCAATAAAAAAGAGGAGTATGGGCGTTGGGAACGAGAGCCGCAGCGGTTACAAACCTTATGCAGCTCATTTCTGCATGAGGACGAAGGGGTTATAGTCCTTGGGAAGCCACATGCTGGCCTTGCGTGGGAGCTTTTGCGCGCCGGGAACCATGTATTTGCGTGCGATGGATCGTCGAAAGACATCGCATATTTGACAAAGGTCATCGAAATACTCGCCAAGGATCCGAGAAACGATTGCACCATCGAGAAACATAAGAGCACACAACGCTCGGACAGGGACATGTACCACAAGTTGGGGAAGAAGAGAGAAAAAATGTGGGAGTACTTGTTCCAGGGCGACACCAAGACCGCATTCCAGCACGAGTACATCTATCGTAAAGCGATGGCACAAGAAGCATATGGTGGTTACCACAAGGCGGAGGTGGGGGCATTCGCGTTGTTTGTGGCGTGATGCGAAGAGCTAAAGTTTATGAGACATTGCAGCAAGCTGACGTACAACGACTATAGTGACGTCACACGTAGAACCGATGCGTGGAATCCGATTTACAACGATGAAGAGACCGATACCTCGGACCTTGAAATCGACCTACGGGTTAAGCGTTCGTGAGATGGTGCACGTGGTCGTGAGGGAGTGCAAAATGTTCCGGACGACAGCGTGCAAAACGAGAATCCTGAAGGAGGTCTGCAGCAATCCGGACCACTGAGCACTCGTGTGGTTGACACAAAGGACAGGGCAAGTTCCGCCTGTAAATTTCCAAGGGATTCACCGACACCCGTTCAAGCCGTAATTAACACCCTGCTTCACGGCAATCGCTACGGGTATCAAGGAGAGAAAAGGTCCATCGGACGAATGTCTGGATGGATGAGGATGAATGACGTGCAGAAAGACGCCGACGAGGATGACTTGGTTGTTCCCGGTGTCTTCCCGAAGTTGACGTCCGGTGATGATATTCCAGAAGGCTTCATGTAGGGGTCCACCTCGCCCTATTTATTTCATGACGTGGGGAAGAGACGTCGTAAGAGAAGTGGGGGCATCACATACTGTGGCACCCAGATGTGTTCGAACCATGCATTAACGAGGGGAAGTGGGTAATGACACTGCACCTGAGGGATGGCTGGAAAGTCAAACCCAGGATGGCAGAAGATTCATGGTTAAAAACCACAAACGGCGAAATCGTATTACGCGTTAGGAAGGAAAACCATGATGCCGATGAAACCCTTATCTGCGCGAAGGCCCAATCGTTGTTTGAGTCTCTACGCTCCAACAATCGTTTGGAGTACAAGCATCAGTTTTACGACTGTCCATCAAGCCGATCGTATAACAAAATCGATTGGAAAATCGAACAGCCTCCCACATGACACGGGCTCGATAGCATTCTTGTTGGATGTTCTCAGCTTGCGGCAATGCCGCAGACTAACTTTGCAGTGAGTGCAGAAGAAGCGCTGAGTCAAACGCGTGTCGCAGCAAACGACACAGAGAAGGGAAACACCCTTCTTCAAGGAAATGGAGAGCGGACGACTACGGGGGTTAAAGGAGCTCTTGCGTCTCTGGCGGTCGAACAAAAATGAAACGTTGCATCATACGGGCCTCCGCTTGTGACACAAGTGGGAAACGAAGGGGCATCGCAAATAGAGAGTCCCACTCCTTCAGTGGAGGATGTGGTTGCGAAGGGAATGCAACCAAGTGTGTGTACAAAACTTGCAGCCGAGGCGAAAGAAAACTCAGACGAGATGATGAAACTATTGAATGATGTGGAGAGGGAAGAGAATAAGAAACTCGAAGGGTCCAACATATCGGCCAATGTGATTAATTGTTTTTCCAAGAGCGAGGAAGGGCAAGTTGCACATGCAGAGGGGGATGCTGGCGGTAAAGATGTCGGGGAAGATAATAAGGAGCAGAACGAAGGGGACGAAGGAGAGAGACTCATTAGACGTTCGACAAGAGAAAAGGCAAAAACTCAACGGGTGAATGTTTAGAGATATGAACAGGGTAGTGTGTGTGTGTGTGTGTGTGTGTGTGTGTGTATTAAGTGTGTGTGTGTGTGCGTGTGAGTGCGAGTGTGTGTATATATATGTGCACGAAGTGGAGTGTGTATGTGTATATGTGTGTAGATAGAGTGACTACGCGCCATTGAGATGAACAATATGAATGACATAAAATGTTACGCAAAGTTTTGAGAGGATTGAGGAATAAAATGTTAATCGT